CAGAATCATCCCTGCTTGGTGTGAATGAATGCATCATGGTTCCCCCAACATACACACACATTGTCATTACTCCCTTCTCGACCCCCCCCCCCCTCTGAGTATTGACGTGCAGCCGGCGGCCCCAGCTGTTGCCTGCTGATGCAGAGCTGCAAACAGTGCGGCGTCTTGTCATCAGAGTGGTTGCGTCTCATGGGAGAGCGGAGATGAGTGCTGTAATTAGCGGGGGAACGAGGCCAGCGGCAAGCCAAGGCTCCTCTGGGGACTTTCAGACGCGTGGCTAACCTGTAGGGCTACCTGTGGCTTTCAGTGCTGAGCCAAGCCCTGATGAGATAAAGCTACAGCAATAAAACCAACAGTTTTCCCTTAAAACGTTTGGAGACATATGGAGGTTTTTATAGATTATCAATTTTACACATTATCAGAGAATGGGGGGATTACCAAGGAGTCGATTTGGTTGTAAGGAATTCATTCATAATGTATGTCAAGGCTGCATTCATGTGCCAGGGTGGTGCGCCCAGGTCAAACGTTTGTAGTGTTTTCTTTAGATATCATATAATGTATGTAATGTTTGGACTAAATATTTATTTTATAAAGTAGATTTAGTCAAGGAAATGTCACTTGCATTGCCCAAAATCACAGAGGTCCCTTTCATGATGGACAAAAGTACAAGAAATATCATATAATCTTTAAAGAACAAAAATAGATAAGACTAATAAAATAACAATGTGGAGAAATAATGGTGGACTCGGGTAAATAAAATGCAAACATTACTAACATTGTACGCTAACAGTTAAAGACTGACACTCAGAATATAATGTACAGTGTAGTGTATATACCCTTTTTTAAATAAAACATATTCCTGCTGTAGGTTAGGTCAATTGTTCTGGGGATATATTCTTTTATATGAATACATTTCTTTTTATATTTTATTTATTTCATTTTATATTTTCAAAGGCCATTTTCTTGACCATTAGATAGCTCACTTAATGTCTAGTGACTCTAAGACTGTCAGCATGTACAATAATAAATGACTTGTTTGTGTGTTGTGTCTGTGTGTGTCTGCGTGCGCTGGTGTGTGCAGGTGTATGACGGCTGCTTCTGCTCCATCTGCGTCGGCCGCTGATGAGTAAAGCCATGAAATAGATCCAGCTGGAGATGTGTGGAGCAGACTGAGGCCTCCTGGGAAATCATCCACACCTCCACCAGCACCGTGTCCACTTCTGTAGCACCCCTGAGAGCTATCAATAAGTGGGTAATTGAATTTTAAGCACAAACACTGCCGTCAAATGAGCGTTGCCTGGAGTGTGTGTGGGGGGGATGTTTAGCGGTGTGAACACGGTGGGGCTGTCGTCGGGCCCTCTGGGAGTTTGCACAGGAAGGATGAATGTTTAATCCATTAAATAACAATTACTGCCTGTAATGGTCCAGAGTGGCTGCTGGAGGGAGGGAGGCAGCATGGCTGAACTGTCCACGTGCCTGAAAATGAGTTTGCTTCTTCATGACACAAAGCATCTCCTCATCACTGTGGTTCAGGGAACCAGCTTCAGACTCAATGAAGCTTTGTGATGATGGTGGAAAATGGGAGGGGTTTTAGTATGGAGGGAATCGTAAGATGTTCTGCAGTATTGAACAATTTTACCGAGGAGGATTTTAGGGCTTGTTCCAGTATATTTCATCTCAAATGTTGAATTTGACTATTTTAGGGCCAATTTATGTGTTCCTGGCTGTGTGGAGAAGGGTTTTAAAATGTTTTTTGTTGAATTGCGTGGATTGCACAACTTTAATACTTCCCTAAGGGGAAACTAGCTTGATTACTCATGCAAAAGGACATATAACAAACCAGACTGGTAACTGTTGCAACACACAAACCACAGTGACGGATACTCCAAGAGGATGTTAGCTCAGGAGCCTTCCTGAACATTTTTTAAAATAATGACAGTTACAAAGTAATCATAATCTAAAAACAAAATCCTTAAATGAAAAAGGGGAAGTACATGTGGAAACCAAAAAATGATTTCAGGAATCCAACAAGTACACTTTTTACTAAAAATACTAAACACAGTTGACACCTCACCTAACCCTCTTACCAAACATTTGTTAAAGCTTTTAATGAACTTGGAGTCAAACCAACTAACCTGCTTTTCAACCGTTTTCTATGCAGGTAAACAAAACCTTTTGTTTTAATTTCCTGCAAAGAATCATGTACCTTACTAATCACAGGCAGTTATTTGACGATATAGAATTGTGCTGTTGATTTTGAGGAAATCAAGGTGAGACAAGTCCTGCCCAATTTCAATAAAGCTTGCAAAAGTAGAATTTAACAACAAAATCTAATAACTGATTCATAATATTCGGAACAATTTATTTTCCATGTCTTGGGTGGCCTCCCCTCTTGACGTCAGCATTTATTAAATCCTGAATTTACGGCTCTGCATCCTTTCCAAAACAAACATTTGGTATATTTTTACATCTAATGTTTTACTAATTGATTTATCACTGCACTAACTGTTCAGGTCACAAATGCAGCTCATGCTCTTGACACAAAGAAAAAAGCACAGTGAGGTGTAGATCGTTTAATTAGTAGCCTACTTGACCTTTTCCAACACCTTAACAGATTCATTAATCAATCATTATCATCGTGTGTATGAGTGCAAAGAAGCATGTCCCTTTTTTTTAAGTGAGAATGAGAATTTATTTTGTGGTTATAAATCCATCCTCGTTAAAAAAGCAACCATCATATATAACTGTATACATAACAAATGTAAGCGCTTAATTCAATGCCTCTGATGGACAAACTGACTGAAATCAAAGTCATGTCAGAATTGTATTCACGCAACAGAAAGAAGAAGATCTGTCTCTTAAGAATACAAGATGATCAGGCTCTTGCCTTGAGAGTCAGAAGTGAATAGATGTTTGTACAGATTACATTTCAACTCTGTAAATGAAGTGTGTGGACTGCATGGCAACTTCATTTTCTCCAGTCTCAGTGGGAGCAAAACAAAGAGTATTAATCCCAGGAAAGTCATACAAATTCAGTCACAACTCTGATCAGTGTCAAAAATGTCACACTCAAATGAGAAAGTTATCTAACACTGAGGAAGGGTCAGACACCAGGAGAACAAATATTATAGACAAAGATGGAAAATCATACCGAAAATGCTCATGAGCTTATATTTTAAATGCATCACCAAATACAGTGACAGTTTGAATAATCCGGCATGGGATGGGTGACATGTTTGGTGAAAGTAAATCTTTCCAGAGGGTCACACATGAAACTCTTTGGGAGATTAGATAAACTAAGAAACATTAAAGGCCTAAAGGGAGAGTTAAGTGCTTGTGTGGGAGTCTGTTGTATATCCTTTTTAAACGTGAAAGTGGGTTAAAAATAATACTTTTATTTTGTAATGCGCTTAAAAGGTACTCGAAGGCCATTTTAAACGATAAAAACAGCAACCGTTTGAGTGCAATTTAGAAAAAAAATTGTACTTAGAAAGGATTTGGCTTTAAGTGAAGCTAACGCAGTAGCACTTAATCTGGTTGGGTTTATACTTAGGAAATGTGCCTGCAGGATTCTTGCTTTTGAGTTGGTTTCAATGCACTTATTGTAAGTCGCTTTGGATAAAAGCGTCAGCCAAATGAAATGTATTGTAATGTAACAAAAGGGGGAGTGAGGGAAATGTGTTTGAGGTGTCGGGGGAGAGAGTTCCAGAGGGAGGAGTCAGTAAAGGAGGAGACCCTCTCCCCCTCATCCGGAGATGGCGAGGTGTGTGGAGGTTGGCGTCGGATGATCTTGTCGTATGTCTGAGCAAGAGGTCAGAAAGGTTTGAGAGGTCAAGGTTATTCGGGGCTTCAGATCTCTTCTTTTTTTTTAAGAAGTACTATAGTTTAGAAATACTCTGGTAAAGGTCCTGAACCTAAAAATGTACTTAAACTTGCTAAAGTAAAAATACAAATATATGTACAACAAACACTCATGTAGTCATTATATAAAAAAATAGATGATACTTAATACTAAATTACATTATATAAGGGTTATTAAAATGTTGAATGGATTAATGTTATCACTTTTGCTCATTTCAGCAAAAATATTTATACCACCCAATTTCCTAATAAAACATATAGTATTTGTTAATTATATACTCTAATAAATACCATTATTTGGAATATGCCAATTAACAGAAGCTGGCAGTAGATGAAGTTAAAAGAACAATATTTCCCTAGATCCATAACGGTGTGGACTAAAGCCATCATGGTGCTCAAGATGCACAAAATAACTCGACATGATTTAGGATAATAATTAAGCTCTGCAAGATCATTGTAGCATAAAGTGTGTAGCACACACACACACACACACACACTCTGCTCTCTGCACACAGTGTGTCAGTGTGATCGTTAAGTTGCACTCCTGATCCAAAGTGAGTTTGCTAGCTGTGGTTTTCTCATGCTGCCACACAATGGCCTGTATCTGGGAGCTGCCTGGTGGCATTGCTTAATTAGGCGAACAGTTGATTCATTTGCACTAATTGACAGCTAATTAAAGGAGTGAGGGCACATCGGATTGACGGTCCTCTGAGCGGAGAGTCCTTGACTGCAGGGGATGTTAGAGAGAGGGAATGATGAAATATTGAGTCTTCTGGACACCACCTGCCATTTGAAGAAGCCTCAAACATATGGTGTGTGTGTGTGTGTGTGTGTGTGTGTGTGTGTGTGTGTGTGTGTGTGTGTGTGTGTGTGTGTGTGTGTGTGTGTGTGTGTGTGTGTGTGTGTGTGTGTGTGTGAACACTGTGATGAAATGCAGCCTGTAGAGTCCAGCTGCTTGTGGTTAAGTGTTTTCTTAAGCTGCAAGGGGAAAAGAAAGTGATTCTAGTCGTAAAAATTGTTCAGATCTGGATAGGAAAATTAAATATTTGAATTAAGTTAATATCGTTAATATACAACAAACATCACCATGGCTTTAACAACATTGTGTGGGAAGAAAACATGGATTTCAAATTTAAATAGGCAGAATCTGGAAAAAGATTGTCATCCCACAATTAAAGTTTTACTTTTTAGTATTTCTATACAAACATACTTGATAGCAAAGGGGTTGCGATAGTGACAAACCCACAGATGATTATCAACAGTTTACCTCAGCTCTATGGGGTCTTTTTTGGTAAAAAACAAACAAACTGATAAACCTTATGAGCCCTAATTGCCTAGCACCAAACTAGTAAATAGCTGGGGAACACAGTGAAGCATTTAGAAGCTAAAGAGACAGATATTTCCTGAGGAGTTGGTGGAAACCAAAACAAAACTTAAAGAACAGTTGAATATTATTAAGAGTTTAAAATAGAAGTTGTTTATGCTCATTGTCTACTGGATGTGTAAGATGTAAGTCTAATTCCAAGACTAACTATATTCAAATGATTATAAAATGTTCTCACACAGCTATCAAGGCTATCCAAAGATTGGAAGATTTTTTTCTTAGCATCCATTAAACCAGAAAAATAATCTGACATTTTTCTATGGACACCCCATGGCTGCCTGGGAAGAAATCTAGCTGCCCCTGCGTCTCTGTCTTCAACATGCTGGCAGCTCTCCAGGTTAGGGAAGCTGTCGCAGGACGTTAACACAAGTTGTCCTGAGTTTGAGGGCCAAACAGTGAAGGTCCTGGGAGAGTCAACTCAAATCTCTCCGGTCCTGCTGGACGAGGGAAACGCTCTCTGCAGGACACCAAGAGTGGGCTGTCTTCATGTCTGCCAGTGCTGCCCCTGTGAATCACAAAAAGACAATTAGGGGCTTATTAGGGTCTCTGGGAGACGTTGCTCACGGGGCGTCCGCTCGCCTGCTCGGCCCCAGCTCTGAGCCCAGCCATAGCTCAAAACAGTCAGGGGCATTGTCTCACCTAATTACGCTGAACCAGAGGCCCCTTTTTGTGTTGCTACCGCTATGCCTGTCCGATTCCCTTCTCCTGTCTCGCTGCTAGGCCCTGTCCGCTGTGGAAGTGTGCTAATTAGACAAGAAATGGGCCCGAGTAATTATGTCAATTCTCGTTAGGTAGTAACCGCAATGAGGAATATTATTTTGTCAGGAAAGTTTTGGGGTATGGGGGCCTCTCTCCCACGTTTTCCCAAAGTATTTTCCTCATTACGCCAATAACACATCTGCACATGGGACAAGGGAATGTGGCACACTCGGCAAGTCAGAGTCCCCGGCAAACTTCAGAGCCCAAATAGATGCACTCATACAGAAATGGAGACTATAGAACGGCAATGGCATGAAGTTATTGCCCTAATTAATGCTTTGTGGCCACGGAGCAAACTGTTGAATCACCAGTGGCACATTGTTAGGACTGTGAGAGTCTTTTGTTTCTTCACCTTAATAGGATGTTTTGATCAACGGCTGTTTGGTGACCCAGCTCTTCTTCTTAAATGCCGAGCTCTGGGAAACGGCAATTAGCTAGATTAGAAGAGCCATTTCTGGAGCCTCAAACAAAGACAAAGATGGATCAGACAGAAAGAGCTGAACCGCGGCAGAACCCCATCCCTGACCCAGACTGATACTACCTCAAATATGTTTTTCAATCGTTGTCGGGAATTAAAGGTGGGGTAGGTAATTTTGGAGAAACCAGCTCAGTAGGCTACACTAGAATTTGAAAATACACAGCCGGAAAAAATCTGCCACTTCCTTACAGAGCCCCTCCTCCAACACACACGAACGCGCACATGACCAATGAGGGCACGAGATAAGTTTGTGCACAGATGGAAGGCTGACAGGCATGTAGGCCATCCAGTTATTTTAGCCGGGCCGGCTAAAATGATTGGTCGTGCTTTTTACAGTAGGCTACTACGGCTTCCACAGATGACATTTTTTTATGGATTTTTTGTCCAAGCACTTAAGATATTCATTGCTATCGGGATGTTAAGAGCATTCCATGGAATATAACAAAACGTGTATCTCGAGCCGGTTTCTCAAACTTACCTACCCCACCTTTAACTAAAAGTAGCAATTCTGCAGTGTACAAATACTCAGGTACAAGTAAAAGTCCTGCATTGTACCTAAGTAGAAGTTAAAACGTATTAGCAAAAAAGAAAGTACTTTAAGCACCCAAGGTAAAAGTATGTGTTACGCAAAATGTCACTTTTAAGCACAAGATATTTTTTAAATATTTTATTAAAGTTAGTAAATTATTGATGCTGTATTCATCACTTCAATGTTGAACTGTAACAGTGGGGTTCATTTTAATTACTTTATACACTACTGGGTTAACCTATAATATGTGTCGATTTATATTTTGTTTTAACAACTTAAATCTAAAAGTAACTAAACATGTAAAATAAATGTAGTGGAGTAAAAAGTAGAACCGTATCCGTAGTGGAGTATAGGTTAAAGTAGCATAATGTGAAAATACTCAAGTGAAGTACAAGCATCTCAATAAATACGTATAAGTACATACTTTATTGTACATTAAGCATATAATAAGAAATGAATGTGGACTCAGTCAGTGAACAGTCAGTGAGCAGTCAGTGAGCAGTCAGTGAGCAGTCAGTGAGCAGTCAGTGAGCAGTCAGTGAGCAGTCAGTGAACAGCAGTACAGATGTTTATGTTCACCTCAGTGATAGAGCTTTAGTTTGGTTATTTCTGCATATGGTTGCCAACATGTGTATTGATGTCAGTGACAGAACCTTTTAGTCCATCACAATATCAGATTTTCATGTCAGGATTACCATGGCCAAAATAGATCACACTAACCACATAATCACAATTGATATAGAAAATGTAAAAAAATAAGAATTAAAAAACGTTCACAAAGCGCATTATATCAAAAACGTTTTAAACTTAAAAAACGAACTGTTCAATTCCCATATGTTTTCACACAATTTGTAGAAACTAAAGTATACATGAATCTTATGATCGTACTATTTTTACTTCCTCTCTCTCTCTTGCCTTCTGATTTTGTTTTATTTCCTGTAGAGAGGTTTGTAATGAGATGGAGATGAACCTTGCTGAGGAGCTTTGAAGAAGCTGCAGTTTTGTTCAGAAGCGGTGAGATGTGATGCTGCAAAAACGTGTTTCTATACTGCAACCTGATCCAAGAGAAGTGTGTGTGTGTGTGTGTGTGTGTGTGTGTGTGTGTGTGTGTGTGTGTGTGTGTGTGTGTGTGTGTGTGTGTGTGTGTGTGTGTGTGTGTGTGTGTGTGTGTGTGTGTGTGTGTGTGTGTGTGTGTGTGTGTGTGTGTGTGTGTGTGTGGTGTGGAAACCTCATTAGCATAGCTGTTGGTATGGCATTGATCTCTTCATTCACCTCTAATGAAATGTCTCTCTAATAGCTTCTCATGAGATGCTGAAGGTAATTTAAGTCGCTTCACTCTCTTTCTCCCTCTAGTTTTTATCATCTGGTGAATTGTATTTGTTGTAATGAATTTTTGGAGCACATTTTGGAAAAAAAATGTTCTCCATCTGGTACAGATTTCAATCTAGTTGTCTCTTGCAAAAAAACAACAACATTATTATTGAAGCAATGTCTTACATGACAGATAATATTTTATTATTTTAAATAATGCAGTATTTTCACGTTTTATCCCCCTAAATATATGGCCTGCAGTCTCTTTCCCCGCAGGGTGATGCAGTGATACACAAAGCAACATTGAGACTCATAATTGACTTGACCGGGTGAGGCTGCATCTCTTGATCACATCTCAGATTACAAACCAGCAGTAAATCTGTTGTGGGTTTGACCGTCACTGACAGCCTGACGCACGGCCGCCAAACAGCCACCTCTTTATTTATTCATCACCACATGTCCCATTGATGGAGACTGTATCTGCGCTTCCATCGCAGGCGTCCACTCATCTCCATAAACTCTCCTCTGCGTAATTATCCGTCCAGATGTCCAAAAGTGTGCCGCACATTATCCCCGAACGATTGAAACTCCGCAATAATTGAATAACAGCTGATTAGGGAGGATTAGGTTTGCGGTAACAGGGAAAAAATGAGAGTATTTTTTACTTCATTTCACATTTCAGTGCGTTTGAATTTGATCTGAGCTTTAATAAACGACTGAAAAGGATGATTTCCCCTGACATACGAACATGTCTTTGCTCACTTTCACTCAGATTATTGCGCCGAAACGTTTTGTAACTTTCAGTTTGCAGCTTTGTGTTTGATATCAGACCCTCAAAGAGATAAAGGATGAACCTCAGGAGGTAAACAAATCTGTTGTTGTTTGGTGCTCTGGCATTTGCTCCACTGTTACTGTTTGTCTCATATTTAATTGCCACCCTGGTGTGTCCTAAATACCCTGAACTGGGATATTGTTTTCTTTATCCTGTGACCCGTCACAGAATAAAACACGCTTAATAACCTATCAACAGATGCGCAGACTGTCGCCAAAGACAAAACGTTTAGTGCGCAAACCTAATTAGAATATGCAAATCACCGCGAGGGTTATATGGGACGTTAGGGAGGGAGCTAACGGATCAATCAGTGGGCAGTCTCCCTAATAACAAGCTGAATTGATTAATTAACTGTTAGAGAAATTGGCTAATGTGAGTTTATGATTGTTTATTTTAATTTGACCACTGAAAAAACCGTGACCTGTGTTTTAATTTGCATGTTTCCCTTGTTTTTACAATAGTGCACTGTGGTGTAATCCGATTACATGCTTTAAATGGCTAAAGTATAGGTTTTATTGGCATGTGTGTCATAATAGATTCGTTTAGTGGTATAATTTTGCTGATATTATTAATGAGACTATTCCTTTGTCATCAAAACCATTTGAACTCTACATTTATCTGCTAAAGTAGGAGCTGTATATTAAGTATGAATTAGCCCATTTTCCTTTTGGCTACAGTATTTTTGGTCCATAAATCTGGTTTCTCACTGTCTTCATTTTACCAGGCAGTGTTTAAATGAGGACAAACGTGCTGCAAATTAAGCTCCTCGTTTCAGGGATTTATCCGGATGATTGGATCTGTTGGACTGGACTCCCGGAGCAGATGATCAGAAACACGGAGAGTTACAGTGAAAGTAAAACATTTCGTTTTTTCTTTACTGGAGATTATTTTTCTATCTAATTTTCATAGCCAAACATCATTTTAAAGCCCCTTCACCTCCAAAAACAAATCTCAATTTCAGCAAAGAAATATCCCATAGCTCTTAATGTTTTCGATTCGTATTTGATGACTTAATAAATAAATAAATATGACTTTATGATATCATCACTGACTGAAAATGAAATTAAGACAACATGCTTTCCTGAAAAAGGCCTAATGATTCTGCTGTCACAATAGCCTGAAGCGGCTATCTATGTTTTCGTTTTTTGTTGGACAATCTACCCACATCCTCATCAATATCTTGGCAAAAAGATAAATATTATCGATATTTTGTCCCAATTAAATGGCAGAAGTAGTGTCATCTACTTTAATAAACCATGGGGGCTCGTGCAAACTTCAGCGTGGAGTCTCCCCCTCCTGTGATTGGCTGCCGCCTGTTGCCTGCTGGTTAAAAAGCGCAGCAGAGAGGAGGGCAGGGAGATAAAGAAGCAGCATCACCGGGCTGATTGCGTCTGGGACTCTTTTTTGTTTTGAAGGGAGAGGAAAAGCAAAATATTCAACACCATGACAGGGAAGGAGGGAGTTTTGCTCTCTGACACTGAGAATAAACAGAAACCAGCCTCACACACCAGCGTGAACCACGGGCTTTCCCAGCATCCGCATCCAGGCTGGAAGATGGCCCCCACGGTGCACCGGCGCACGGGCTTCGGGATCCAGGAGCTGCTCGGCCTCACCAAGGATCCTCCGGCGGTTTCCCGGAGGCCGCTGGAGGCTCTGCCGCACACTGCGCACGTCCTGGCCGCCAGATCGGCCCTGGGACACGGGGGTCTCGGGGGTCTCGGGGGTCTCGGGGTCGGCATGGGTTTGCTCGGACCAGAGGGAATACACTCGTTTTACAGCCAACCTGCTTTCCTGGAGGTGCTGGCAGAGGCGCAGCACGTGCACCTGCAGCCGCTGCACCGCGCGCCGCGCATGGACACACAGATGGACGCGCAGCACTCCGCCAGCTCGGGTGAGTCCTGAACACACACACTGAGGCCCGGTCACTCTGGGACATAATGTGGGATCTGGTGGAGGTGTTAATATACCATATTATTCATCATGTGTTTATTATTAACAGTCTAAAATAAGGGGAGAGCAGACATTTCTTGCAAATAAAAATGGAAAGCAAAGCATCTGCGCAATGTGATCGAGTGATAACGACTGCTGAGACTGACTGAAAGTTAATTTCACCAGAGATAACAACTAATCTTTTTCTTTATAAATGCATCTTATAGGAAACGTTTGTTTTCAAAATAGGGTCATTTCTAAAATTGTTTTTTCATACAAATTTTAGTCAATGTTTAGGTTACATTTATCCAATAAATAGGGAGAATACGCGACGGAGAACCAATAATGCAAATAATTTAAAGCAGGAAAGCTGACTTATTATTTTTAAATAACCATTTATAAATTAAATGTATAATTTATTATTTTTATTATTATTATTGTTTGCCGTATTTTGAGTTGCTCTCTGATGTGTTTCCTCGCAGATTCCGATGACATGAGTCTCTCCTCCGGTGATCAGAAGTTCTCCAAATCATCCATGAGTCAGAGCAAGAAACGGAAGAAAAGACGACACAGGTAAAACACAACGAAAATGAAAACAAAAATAATATAACGATGTTTATATATGTATTTATTTGTGGGACTTGCGATGTTAAATATAGGCTTTTATTTAGGGAATCATTTGACTATTTTCTTATGGTGTCACATTTAAGACCACCAACATACAAAACACACGAGGCCTATTTAAATCCAAATGTGTGTGATTTTGATAATACGCTGTTAGCCTATTTTTTAAAATGGCATTAGCCTATTTTTAATATGGTATTAGCCTGAAATGCATATAGAAATAACACAATCGTATTATTGCCAGTTATTTCGTTAAAGATAATAATGAAAAGGCCTTAAAGGGGGAAGAATATAAAATGCATTTTTTTCTTACATGCATTTTGTAAACAAAGAAGAACGACTTGTTATTGTCATTATTGTTTCTGACGTCTACATTTCTACTTCTACTTGTATTCCACAAAAAAAAAACTTTTTCTAAGTTGCCATCTTCATTTCATTTTAAATTTCAGTGCAAGGGTATTGTTTCGTTTTTATTTTTACATTTGGGCTGTTGACTGATATTTTTAAATAATAGCCTTCAAAATTGAAGTAAGAAGCCACAGAGAAATCCAAATTACAAATGGATTAAACAATAATATATCCTTTTTTTGTTTTGCCTGCAGAACCATTTTCACCTCCTATCAGCTGGAGGAGCTGGAGAAAGCTTTTAATGAAGCCCACTATCCAGATGTGTACGCTCGAGAAATGCTCTCCATGAAGACCGAGCTACCAGAGGACAGAATACAGGTGTGTAATAACATCTGGGCAGTTTGCAGACATGAGATCAAATGTACTTTATTAATCCCAATTTGGGATTTTTTTTGGTTGCAGCAGCATAAAACAAAACAAGGCATTGCACATAATAACAAATGAAATACAATTCTAAAATATAAACATCTCAAATAGAAATAGAAATAAACCAGCAAGTAAGACAAATATACAGATGACCAAATATATATAAATAGGACATGCATGCTTTTGTACCTTACATTTCACATTCTAAATATGCTTTCATTGATATAAAAGAAAACATTTATTTAGTCAAATCATTCAGATATTTCCTGCAATAGTAAATAATTAAAACTCTCAAGGCTAAAATGACTGTCAGTCAGTGTGAAGGCTGAATTCAGGTTAGAAAATGATGAAGAAACAGATCTTCAGGAGCTGTCCATCATCATCCTCACTCCGCCTTCTGCTTTCACATTAGCAGCCAATTCAACCTCTCAGTGTAATTAGTTAATTGAGGAGAACTTATCACCTCTCTCCCTGTGAGAGACGGGCCCTGAGATGAAATGATAACTACATAGAAATTAATTAGCAGGGGTCAGCAGCTGAGCAGAGGGCCCTGCCTCGCTGCTATGAGCATTTTAATTTCCCGTGATATTTGAGCGCCTGTCTCCCATCGATCGGCCCTGGAAATTAACTTATTTTTCAATCAGCCTCTTCGCCCCCGGGGTCACCTCTCTCAGGAAGCACTTCACACACACACACACACACAGAGTGAAGACAGACACACACACACACACACACACACACACACACACACACACACACACCACACACTGCCGTGCGCACTCACACTGTTGCTGTCAGAAAGCATGATTGCTCATCTGAGGCCCATCTTTTTATGAGATGGAGGTTATCATCAGATCTACCTGAATAGCTTTCCAGGCTCCGCTTTGATCGTTTTTAATTCCAGGGCTTTGAAACGCGCGCACACACCACACACACACACACACACACACACACACACACACACACACACACACACACACACACACACACACACACACACACACACACACACACACACACACACACACACACACACACACACACACACACACACACACACACACATTTCCCAGCACAAACCATTCCCTACAATCTCATCCTGCCTCCTCGCCCATTTTAGGATGCTCATTTCTTTCCTGTTGTCCTCATCCATATTCACAAGCTGGCTGAGGCTGTTGGAGGCCCGGCTTGGTGGAAATCAATTTAGGCAGTAGAGGAGGCAGGAGGAGAATAATGCACAGGCATGCACACAAACAACTGACAAAAGACAACATGTTGTTTATACTGTATGAAGCAATGAAGTATTTATCTCTAAATATCAGGGCTTTTGTAAAAAATACAGGTTATTACCAGAAAATCTGAGTAACGGCCAATGGGAATCTCAAAACCATGTCTACTTCATTCAAAACCTTTTCATTAAATCATCCAGCAGATGTCATTGTTCCATTGATATTTATTTCCTTGTCCAGACGGTAAAATCTTCCTTCTTTGTGACAGCAGTGACTTTGTTTTGTTACAGCTTCAAGGAAGAATTCATTTCAATTTCATTGGGATTTAAAAAATAGTTAAATCCTAATTATAGATATAGATAGATGTCATGTTTTAGGATGCATCCAAAAAAAGGCAACATTTTGCTTTGAATAATAATTTGTCTGATTTAGCTCTGTACTTAAAAAATACAATTCATTATATATAAATAAATCAGCTCTTTTTCTCTCTTTTTAATAAAATCCAGAGGCTATAAATATGTAAATATTGATATGTCTATAATATTACCTTTTTAACCTTATCAAAGACAAATATTTAGGACAAGGAATGTTATTCATTTAGCTTGATCATAATATATCTCCCATACTTCGCTGAGAAATACATTATTTCGGTGTAAGCTGGAGGTTTTCTTTCTGGTACAACAAACGCACTGTAAACTCTAAAGATTTAAGGAGAACAACTCTCCCTTTAGTGGTTTAAATGTGAAAACAGCCTTCTAGTGTCACACTCTGCACATACATCATCCTGCAGAGTGTAGCTCAAACGGAGAGATTATTGAGTGGACGGCTGTTTATGTTTTGGTTGTAGCCTGAATTATAAATGTTGGATATATATATTAATGTCCCATACTGCAGAGAACAAGCATTAAAGTGATCAACTAAACTCATCCTTTCTCTGCCCTTCATTTCTCCAGGTGTGGTTTCAGAACCGCAGGGCCAAGTGGAGGAAAAGGGAGAAGTGTTGGGGTCGCAGCAGCGTGATGGCGGAGTACGGCCTGTACGGAGCCATGGTGCGTCACTCCATCCCCCTCCCCGAGTCCATCCTCAAGTCCGCCAAGGAGGGCGTCACAGACTCCTACGCCCCGTGGTTATTAGGTAAATATGATTTTGTAACATGTTCACTGGGAGAATTTCAGATAGCCATTGGCCTTTTATCATGCCACAATAATAAAACCACAGGTATAATACTAGGTCTACTAATATTATATAATATAACCTCCACAAAGATTGCCAAAATAATCATATTCCCATATAAATACTTTGTATATGGTCTCATCATTCTCAATGGTAGTAACAGCCCTGCGTACAAGTATATAAAGATTGAAGGTACTGAGCTTTAATTGAATAAATATTGAATTAATGTTAGATTTTGTCTTGTGTATTACACGGATTGAAGAAGTTACCTCAGTGTCCTCAGTCTGTCTGATGCAGATATACATTTTTGTTCCAAAAAATTAGAGCGTGTTCCCTGGAGAAATCTGCTCTTGTTGACATGAACATCATTTTTCGATATTAGTCTGTCTCGTGGTGTTTGATGCAGGGCTTGGAAGTGGGAGCTGAGCCCGGCTCATGTTAGGAGCCAATAAAAGTGTCAGCATGTCAATAAAGGGTCGATACAGTGATAATCCCACTTAATCAGGACAGATTAGACCAAATGTCCCCGCTCCCCTCGTGTCAATTGATTGGTTTGAATCAATTAGCTGCCTGTAATTGAATAAGAGGTTCTATTCACTGATCTATCCTCTTTCTCTTTCACACTTTATTCCAATGTCAAACACCTCAGTACACAATCAACCAAAAGCATCAGAACATTTCAACTTCACAAGGAAACACTCAGTTACCTAAGCCTGCTCTGCAAACTCTAACTGAACTGAATGTCTTTTCCCTTCAGGAATGCACAAGAAGTCAGTTGATATCCCACACACCTCTCCTGGAAATCCCTGCAGCCTGACACCACCCCCACCTCAGGAGAAACCAATGGACAAAGTGATGGAGGAAGAGGCGGAGAAAAGGATGAAAGACACAACTAACACACCTATTTCTAAAGAGTTACTGAGGGAAAACAGTATCGCTGCGCTGCGAGCGAAGGCGCAGGAGCACAGCGCCAAGGTGCTCGGGACAGTTTCAGAAAGAACAAATGTCACGCACAAAGAACAAGCTGAGGACAATGTGACGAAGCAGGAGACGGCAGAGGTGGAGAAGTGTGACTGAAATAAGATGCAGGAAAACAGACTGACGGTGAAAATACCTGCAGAGCGGAGATTGCACTTCAGAGGCAGAAGTCTTGTTGTATTGGTTGAGTCTGACCTTGATGCATGTTGAGTCGCTGATGACGGTTGATAAGACCTGCAGGTCAAACATCATAATCATAGATAAATAAATCAAAAATGTATTTCCTTTCTTGATCTTATCAGGTTGCTAAAGGTTATTTAGCTACAAAAACTGTGGTTTCCTAACTCAGCCAATTACATTATTACAGCTCTAAGAAATATTCGAGCTCTGACATGTTTCTTTAACATTTACTGCAAATCTTCTGCTATGGAGCCGCGTTAAAAAATATATATTTATTTTCTTTAAAATAGATCATTAACCTTACAGTTCTGTGACATGGCAGCTACTTTTATGCAACAGTGTGGTTCTTTCAACAAGCATCTGAAGCAAGAAACGGACTCTAACTGCTCAAAAGGTGCTGACAAGAAGATGATTGTGACCTCTGACCTCCCTGGAATTTCAGCTGGGTGACTGAAAATCAGTCCTGTGAAAAGATTACAAGATTAAATCTTTGTTGTTGCAACTCTTGTGATGTACATACTGCAAATATTGTCCAATAGTACTGTTATGTACAGTTAACAATAATTATCTGTGTCTGTATAAATGTAACTGTAGCCTGAATAAAATGTACTGATATTTAAAGCCCCTCTGCTCAAAAATGGGTTTTGATTTGATGTGTCTTCTCCTTGATGTTTGAGCTTTACTGTGTTGGAGCTTTTTAGTGCACACCCTGATGTATGTGCACTAAAAAGCTGTTCATCTGTAAATCTGAGGTTTCCTGTACTTGAGCATGATTATGATATCTGAATCTTGGAAACCAATATTGTGTCCAGTAGTCAAACTTCAGAAATGTTTATTCACCATTGGATATTTTCAGATTCATGAGTTCTACATTTAGGTCAAGCTGTGAGCTTATACACAGCCGTATTGTTATGCATCATTCATGAACATATCTGGACGGAACCTCTGAACAAAAACCCACCACACAAATACGTTTTCCTTTCTTTTGCAACTGATTATGAAACTTGGCTGCCGCTCAAGGAACAGAAAGTGTCGGCACATTGGGTTTTTGTACCGCCCTTTAACGCATCACTCGTCCTGTCCTTGCTCCACGGAGTTTCCCAAGTATTCCCTCAGTAAAGTTGAGCAGAGTAACTTCCAAAACTGCGTAAAAACGATCGCAGATTCTTTGCAAATATAGCCGCAGTTTGCACAGGATACGTTCACTGTCAGTATGTGGCTCCCCTGCAGGTGCACTTCAAAGACCATGGTTACTTCCTATGCTCGTCGGGTCTTTAATTCGTATTTCCGTGTTTTTGGTCGATGGAAATGTAATGTAGCGGCGTTAATGCCGGAGGCTGTTGGGTTTGAAGGTGTGAAGGACTGCTCGTCCCTGCAGGAGTTTTCCGTCTCCAACAGCGCGAGCTTCTGGGCCGCGGCAGCGCGCCACAGGCTGAGCTGGATCAAACCCTTCCACACCGTGCAGGACTGCGACCTGAGCCTGGGGAGGATCAAGTGGTTTGAGGGAGGACAGCTCAATGTGTCTGGTAATATAATCACTTTTAAATAGAATATGATTTATAATTAGACTCATAGAAATAGATTTGATCGTTAGAATGAACTGATCGATGCAGCGAAGGCTTAATCGGAGGCAGCTACATGCCAACAGTGGTGTAATGGAAACTGTACTTAAAACATGTTGGTACTTTTACTTTACTTGAGTAGTTTTACATTATGCTACTTTAAACTTGAATTCACGACATTTTGTTGGCAAATGTTCTACTTTTTACTCCACTACATTCATAGTTACTTTGAAGATTTAGGTTATTAATACAAAATATAAATCAACACACATTATATACCTATAGTATATTATTATAGCTTAAGCTCGTACCCAGTAGTGCTTTAAGTAACTCAAATAAACCCTACCTTTACCAAGTGCAACATTGAAGTGATGAACACATTAATGCACCAATGATTTGAATACATTTAATATAATAATACAACAATCTGGTGCTTAAAATGGCTATTTTACAAAACGCATACTTTTGGTACTTAAAATATTCTTTCATGCTTATACCTTTTTACTTTCACTGGACCAACATGTTTTGAGTGACAAGATTTTGATTTGTAACTGAATACTTTTACACTGTAGTATTGCTACTTTTACTTGAGTAAATAATCTGAGTACTTCTTCCACCTCTGCTTGCCTAACCTCTCAATGAAACGTGAGACAGCGAATGCATCATTATGCACACAGTTTTGATCAGCACATATAATTAAAGCACTCCTTGAACGCAGCACGATGACTTGGCAGATAAAGTTACATTTACTATCTGTTTGTCTCTGGTTTGTTAATGTACAGTGAACTGCTTGGACCGCCATGTGCACACCTGTCCTGAGAGGGTGGCCCTGATCTGGGAAAGAGATGAACCGGGGTCAGAGATCAAGGTCACCTACAGGTCAGCAGCTTGGATTTAATACACTAGGGTTTTTTAAATCCTCACTAAAGACTCACTTCTTCTCCCTGGCCTTCTAGTCAGAGCGGAGCACGACACCTGACTATTCCCTGTGTTTTTGTTTTTTATATTTCTGTTGTAAATGATTGTCTTTTATTGTGATTGTAGTAATGTGTTTTTATTACATGTACAGCACTTTGGCTCGACCAAAAATCGCTTTTAAATGTGCTATATAAATAAAACTTGATTTGATTTGATTTGACATGTGTGTGTTGTTCGTGCTCCTCTTGTTCATGTGGGTTAGTACTTCATTTATAATCTCTTTACAGGCAGCTCCTGGAGATGACATGTCGCCTAGGAAACCTGTTGAGACGGCATGGCGTGAAGAAGGGGGATTGTGTCACCATCTACATGCCCCCCTGCCCTCTGGCTGTGGCGTCCATGTTGGCCTGTGCCCGTATCGGTGCGGCTCACAACGTGGTGTTTGCCGGGTTCAGCGCTGAAGCCCTCGCAGAGCGAATCAGAGACGGTGAGAAGATGTCCCACTTTAGAGCTGAACTAATCCATTCTTTAACAATGGACCAATAGACTGTGTTACGTCAGAGCAGTCGCTTGTACTGAATAACCAACAGAGAACAATGACTTTTTATTCACAAGCATTTTAGAGTCTTTCAGCTCCTTGTTTTGGCTTTAAAGGCCGGAACCTCACTGGTAGAGTCTCACTGCTCTCATTAACCCTGTTTTCAGCAGTAGGCTGCGTTTTTCTTATGTAAAAAATGTAATAAACCCACATTACATGCCTGGTCTCTGTACTTCAGCAGCAGGCGGATTGCTGTGGAAGCTCCGTAAAACTGGTTTATCTTAAGTCTCTGAACCACCTCCCACACACAACAGACAGTCATAGTTTACACAACATTCAAAGTCAGGCCTCCTTTCTCAAGAAGGTTACAGTGTTCGCAAACATGTTTTTTCCCTCTAAATGTCACAAACACTGGAAAATAGGAGGAAATACAGAAGGTCACAAGGTCTCTACAGATACAGACACTTCTATTGCATCATAAGTGATGATTGAGAGGGATTGTGTTGTATGAATAATCATTGCCTTTAAAAAAACAACATCCTCATTTTGCCTTTTAAGGACTATATCTTGTGAGAACTTAGCAGCTCAATAGACAGTCGTCAAAAATACAGTTTGTTAAATTAGATATTATTACCTCTATTTCCTAAGCTACATTTTTACAAAATTGAAGTTTCATCACTGAAGAGAAACAGGTTCAAGACCCTCTACCGTACGCTTGATCTGGGATTTAACTCTCTATTTAATTTGAGGATTGACTGGTGCACTAAAGAGTGCTTTATGCTTTTTACCTAGCAATAAACAACTGACAATGGCAGTAAATTGAATTGAATATGCTCCACATGTTTTCAGCCCAGTCCAGGACGGTGATCACGGTGAACCAGGGTGTGAGAGCGGGGAAGGTGACGGAGCTGAAGAGGACGGTGGACGCGGCCGTGAAGGACTGCCCCTCTGTACAGCAGGTGTTGGTTGCCATGAGAACAGAGAATCCGGTCACCATGACAGCCAAGGACATGGACATGGAGGAGGTGAGAGAGCAGAAAGCCAATCAGGAGCTGATTGAGATATTAATGCCAACACTGTGTCACTTTCTCCTGGATTCAGAAAAAGAGAAAGAAATGTAGACTAGGAATAAAACTCCACACAGCTGATTGGACTTTGGTTGTTCTGTCAGGTAATCGTTTAAACACTGATCCTAATACTTATATGAATGTTAGTTTGTTCCCCTCTTGCATCATACAAATTAAGATTGCATTTAATTGCACCATGTTTTAAACAGGGCTGGAATGATTAACAATTGTATTGCATATCAACCTGGAAAAGCTGCTGCGGATAAAAAAACAGATTTTAAAAATACAGGCATATTCTCTTTGAAGAATCACACAAATTATTATACTTTTATTATTTTCGTTATTAATACATGCATTTGTTTATTTATTCATGCCTTTTTGGGTATTTATGATAATCAATATTAGTGTCTTTTTAAGAGTTTTAGGCATATTCTGATAATCATTGGGATAATATCGAGAATCCCAATTATTTTGACCAGGATAACCATGGCTTGAAATATTGAAATCGTCCATTGCAGAGTTATAACAAAATGATATATGTATTATATTGCTCTACTACTCTTCTGTGTTTGATAGGAATGACAAAGATGAAATCCTCTAAAGTCATTGTGTCCTGCAGGAGATGCTGAAGGAAGACATGGTGTGTGAGCCGGAGGCCATGGACAGTGAGGACGTTCTGTTTCTGCTCTACACATCGGGCAGCACGGGGAAGCCCAAAGGAGTCGTCCACACTCAGGCTGGATACCTGCTGTACGCTGCCCTCACACACAGGGTAAACAACAAACAACAACATCACCTGCACTATCACACATGCAGAGTGGGAAGTATTTCATGACCTTGGCCTTGGACAGCCAAAATATGACATAATATTCATTGTTTGACCATTTGTTTGGTAGCCATCAAAAGGAAACACTTTCTGAGTTTTCCCGGAATATCTCGATCAACGTTGTAAAAAAAGATTAGAACAAAGTAAAAGAGAGTGGATACCTTCTGTTGGTGTTGCTGCAGTGTTTAATGTGAATGCTGCAAATATGGGAACTGGTTTTCTTTTTTAAAATTATAATTATAATTATTTAACAGGTTTTATTTATTTTCAAAACCTTTATTTAACCAGGTGAATCCCATTTAGATCATCGATCTCTTTTGCAAGGGAGACCTGCTGCATCATATGTGATGCATTCTACAAATTCTACGTTATCTTATTTTTTCTATTATTAAAGGTGGGGTAGGTAAGTTTGAGAAACCGGCTCGAGATACACTTTTTGTTATATTCCATGGAATGCTCTTAACATCCCGATAGCAATGAATATCTTAAGTGCTTTGAAAAAAAATCCATAAAAAAATGTCATCTGTGGAAGCCGTAGTACTGTAAAAAGCACGACCAATCATTTTAGCCGGCCCGGCTAAAATAACTGGATGGCCTACCTGCCTGTCAGCCTTCCATCTGTGCACAAACTTATCTCGTGCCCTCATTGGTCATGTGCGCGTTCGTGTGTGTTGGAGGAGGGGC